CGGAGGTTTTTCTCCCCCGTGCGGAGGTTTTTCTGTTTCGGACTCTCTCCTTTTCCCCTCTCACTCCCCGTAGAGGGTAGAGGGGGATCGCCTCCCACCCTGGAGTCTCCGATCCCGGCCTGATTTTATCTTCCCGGGTTCGCACTCACGTTAGAAGTCTCTCTCAGTGGATTCTGCGTCCTTTTTCTCCCAATCTCTCAGGTTTTGTAAGGTTTCCAACGGCTTCAGATCTTTTCTGTGTGATGTATGGGTGCAAGTGCAAGTACGGAGCTCCTTACTTCTCTGCCATCTTGCCCCCTCCAACTTTGTTGTCTTTAAATTTTAAGTAAATGAATTAAATGTTTGTTCTCTTTCTTGAGGTGGCAATAAAGGTTAATTGTGTTAAATTTAACTCTCAGGGCCCTCAATTGTTTCTTGTCTGTGTCAGTGGCCTTTAGTAGGAATAAAGGTTCTCTTTCTTTGTTCTAAATGATTAGGGATTGACTACATAAAAGCTTACAATATACATTCACCACATGAATTTACTCATTAACATTAACGATGGTCTTTCCGTTAGTGCCAGTGAGGCACTGTCAGCAGCCTGCCCAGAAGTTCTAACTCCCTGGAGAAATGGGGCAGGGCACCGGCCAAAGGGGAAGGGCATGGCAGATGCTAACAGAGAAGCCAGAACTCTGTTAAGAACAGAGTCAAGGGAGCCAGGGAGCTGGGAGTCCAGGGAGGAACTGATGAGGCTGTCAGGAAACAGGGACACCATGTGAGGCAAAAACTAGGTAATTCATTACGTTAGGCAATAAAGTTTTATTTATAACTTTTACAATAACAACTTGAGATTCTTCATCTTCCCATTCTCTCTGGGTTATCACATTCATCCATTCTCAGGCTCTTAGCTGTTGTACTGAAGACACAAATCTATTTTGCCAGCTCAACCCTATCTCTCAGTCTTCAGATTTATATGTGCTTTCTGGATTTACTTGAATATTCACACTCAACAAGTCTAGTTTCCCCCGCCCTTGAAAACCATCTCCTGTTCTATATTCTGTCTTGGTTGGTGACTCTCCTTTTAGTAGCAATAGCAGGACCCTGTCATTCTCTCCCTCCTATTTATCTTCCTCCTCAAATCAACACCAGTTCTGTCAATTTTGCCACCTATTTATTTCTTAAATCTAATCTCACCTCTCCACCCTTTCAACAGAGACTTTGTGGGGCCCTCAGCATCTCTTAGTGGACTAATTGAACAGACTCCTTATTGACAGGCCTGAAGCCTGCTCTTTTTTGCCCCAATTTATTCTTCACACCATCAGCAGTGATATATCCAAATGTAAATACGACCAGGCCATAGCATAAGCTAAGACTGTTCCCTGTCTTCTCTTTAATTTACAGAATAAAACCAAGCAACTGAGCATATCATGCTAATGCAAGGCATTGTCTGGCTACTGCTGACCTTGCCAGCCTCTCACTTTTGCTCTCATGTGAAGTGTTCCCCAAACACAAAACTCTTTCTTGTCTCTAAGCTCTTTCTTCTACCTCATAGGCCCCCTTAAGAGTCACCTCACTTGTCACCTCCCCCTACAACCCTTATTCTTCACTCACTGGCAATTATTTAACTCTCCACTGTGTCTCCATGTTACCATATGTATAGTTTTGCAGTGGCACTTAACCAAACCTAATGTAACTGTTCATTCATTACACATTTATTGAATACCTACTGGAGTCTAAGGAAATAGGGTTGAGGCAGAAAGGCATTAGGTTATGGGACTATGTATATTTAGTCTTTGTTTCAACAGGAAACACAATGTTTGGTTCTCCCTAAATATTTGTTGCATCAATAATTGTAATAAGATTTTGTAAAAGTGGATTGTAGAACTATATACACAAGACTATATGAAACCACAGTAGAGAGACAACCAATCGTACTTTGCTGGGATGGGGGTGGGGGGCAGTGGTCAGGGAATTATGCGTGGCAGCAGTGCATTGTTAGAGGTAAGACTAGAACAGAATCCAGCTGGGCTTTACAAATGTGAAAATGAGCCTTAGAGAAAATGTATCGACCTTGCTCAACAGAAGATGGTTAGTTAGGGTAGAACCAGAATTCCAGTCTAGGTTTGTTTGATTCCAAAGTTTATAACCTTTTTACTCTGACTACAGGTGGAAAAAGAGACTCTAGCTGCCTCTGACTATAAGCCATCTTTTGTCTGGTTTACTGATGTGGGCAGGACTAGCCAGCACAAGTTGGATTTTTAGTTACCTATAACTGATCAAAGCATAAATAGACAAGAACCTTGTATCTATGTAGAAATGTCTAAATTAATGCAGCTCAACCCAATTGCTCACATGCCATATTCATTACTCTCTCTACAGACAAAACCAATACTTTTATAAATGTCATTTAGCCACATTTTTTTCCAACTACTAGTTACTAAAAAGGCAACAAAAGAACCCCCCATGGTACACCTGTGCTCACACAAGCACACACCAACACACACATGCAGATGCATGCCGTTGCGTCACTTGTCTTAAATGTTACAGAGATATCAGGAATTTGCCCCAAATGCTTAGCAGCAAGTTCAAAATTAAGAACACTTAAAGTACTGCTTGTGGGGCACCTGGGTGGATTGGTCGGTTAGGCATCTGATTCTTGATTTTAGCTAAGGACATGATCCCATGGTTGAGGAGATCGAGCACTGCTTTGGGCTGTGTGCTGACAGTATGGAGCCTGCATGGGATTCTCTCGCTCCTTCTGTTTATGTTCCTCTGCTGCTCATGGATGCTCTTGGTCTCTCTGAAAATAAATAAATATTTAAAAAATAAAAACTTGCTGCTTTTCTATTCAGCTTTTACTTCTTCTGTTTCTTTTTCGGTGTTATTAGCTTGCTACCATCAAGTGAAGTAATTATGGATATGTAAGTTGAAAAACATTTTCATTTAAAAACTTCCAAATGCGTATTTTTATCAAGTAGAATGTTTATGGCAAGTTTGCTATGCCTTGTATATTCAAACTGACAGCTATTACTCCAATAAAATAGATATATCTCCTTCCTTCTAAGACAATGACAAATGCTAGAATAACCTTGCTGTTCTAAAGGGAGAAATGATTTGACAAGGCCCTTATACAAATTGTTGCTGAAAGAACTGTATTTTAAAAACAACAGCAGTGATGTTTATTGTTTTCTGGGATAAAATGTTTAGGTATTTCTTGTAGTTGTCATCTTTATTTGAGGGAGAAAAGAGCTCTTCTCTGCAGCACATTCAATACTGTTAAAATACCCTAGAAGGGATTTTAAGTGTTCCCTTTACCTAGAGCTGTGGTCTCATTTGGTGTGTCAGCACTGCCCAGCCCCACACCTCCTACATCAACCTATAGCTTCACTACTGCTGGGGACCTTCATGTCTGTTGCACCACAAAACCCTCACTTCCTTGACGGCCTCTATGCTACTGACATCAAACCAAGTCTGAAAGATGTCTCCTCTCAGTGTGTCTCCCTCTTCATCCTTCCTGTCCGTGCCTTAACTAAGACTCTCACTGTTTTTCACCTAGCTATTTTCTCATCTCCCACCTGCCTGCTTCTGGTCACAGGTGCCTGTTAATTCTCAAAACATAAATAAAATGAAATAAAAAATCCGAGTCAATCATTTCTCCCACTTACAAACATTTAAGGAGTGGATGCTAATGGGAGGGACAGTGTAGAACAGTTTGAAAAGCATGGGAATCCACACTCCAAATTCCTAGGTTAAAAGCAAGGTCTAAAAATGTTTCTTTGGAAGTAAAATGCACTTTGCAAAGCCCCCTTTTTACTATAGTGTTTATTTTATTGCATTATGTTTTTTCTGTATTTATAACCACTACCTGACTATATTCTTGAGGAAAGGGATATTTTGTTATTTATCTTTGGGTCCTGGAGTACTGTGTCAGTTACTGAGTAGATAGTCAAGAAGTGCTCACTGAACGCAAGCAGTCAGGAAGGAAGGGAAATGAGAAGGAAAGAAGGGCAGAAGTAAGGAAGAAATGGAAGGAGGGAAGGAAAAGGGAAGGGAGAGGGGAAGGAAAAAAAAGAAGTAAATGTCATATATAGAAGCTTACAGTTTCACATAGTACATATATAATACCATCTTTTAGTCTATTATTTCTGAGTTGGCTTTTTTCTAACTAAAAATAATTAACATTTGCATTAAACTAAAGAATCTTCAAATTGCTGTTATAATGTGCATAAAATTATTATTTTTTGAAACAGCTTTCAAAAGAACTTGGAAACAGTATACAGCTTGAACACTTTCAAAGGTGTTCAAAGAAAGAACTTCTAAGAAACCAGGCAGTCAGCAATGCCAGCTCATGAGGCTGTCCTTTTCCCTGTTGGAATCCTCATATGCCAACATATGGCATCAATAACCCCTCACTGAATATTTATGATCTTATACTTTTCTGGAAAAAGTGTTTATTTTAATTCACAAGCAAGTAATATTTTTGTTTGTGATAGAAAAATAAAAATCGTATATCTTATTTTTTCTAAGGAACTATGCTTTGAGATATAGTCATTCACATTCATGACATCTTTATTGTGTCCTTAATTTTCCAAGTCTGAGTATAAAGGTGGTAATAAAATGCTAATCCAAGTTACAATAGCTTGCATTTATATAGCACCTCAGGGTTAGCAAAGTGCTGTAACATATACTCACACTTACTCTAATTTAGGTCCTTGCTGTCAAAGAGAGTTACTGAATCTGAGTTTTCTTCCCTAATCTTCCTGGGACCATCATGAAGGGTGCAAGTTTCCCACTGCCTTATTCACCCTCCCCTCCTATGCAGCTGCCAACTGTTGTCAGTTTTCAACTGTTATCTTTCCAAAACACAGATCTGATGGTGCAGAGGAAGCAGTGCTGCAGTGGAAATGGTTTTATAGCAGACAGAACTGAATTTGAGTGCTGGCTCTGACATTTCCCAGGTATCTGATATTGTAAAAGTTAACTTCCCGAGTTCTCTCATCTGCAAAGAAGGGCTAATAATACCTTCCTTGCAACATTGTTGTAAGAAATAGAAATGATATAAATTAAAATCTAGCTTAGAGGCTTGCACCTATGTAATAAAACACACTTTGGAAATGATGCCAGGACTATCTTGTTATTTACCACTCCCCTGTATTAGAATATTTATGGAAGAACCATGGTTTACTGAGAAAAAGTACATTGTGTCACGCATGGCCTGATACCCTGTAGACGCTGCAGGAACTGCAGAAACCTACAGCCTAACAATCCCAAACAGTGACATCCAGGCTTCAACAGGGATACATATAGAATATTGTGAATGTATGTAAGTGGAGCAAGTAAACTGGTCTTAAGCTGTGACCTGAAAGATGGGAGCGTCTCACCTTGGAGATGGGGTAGAAAGGAGGTGGGATAGGGTGGGATGGAGAAAAGCTTCAGCTGAAGACCTGTCTTTGCAAAGACAGGGCAGAGTACAGTGAGTACAGAAACTGGAGCTGCTGAGTGTGGCAGGAGATGTTGGAATGCAGGCCAGTAGAAAAGAAAGAGACAGGGGACTGGAGAATTACAAGATGAGAAACAGGATAGGTGAAAGGTATTGAAAGCCACATTGAGGAATTTGGGCTTTGGAAGAGAGTAGGACAATGAAAACATATAAGCAGGGGATAGATTTGATTACATCTGCTTTTTCAGAAGTAACATGTTATGATCTACTACAGAGGTCCTTAACCTGCTCCACAGATCCAAGCATGGACTTCTTAGTGGTTTGCAAGTTCTTTAAATTGGTTGCAAATATATACGTTTGTGTGTGTGTGTGTTTCTGAAGATACCAACTGTAAAGCTGACTCAAATGTTTGAAGATTACCATCCAAGCACTTCCTGTAAGACAAAGCCTAGGCTCTTAGACCCTTTCTGGCTAAAACCTTCATTTCCTGTTACCTTCCACAAAGTTCAGAATGTCACCCCTCTTAATATTGTGCTATTCCTAACATGTCCCTGAGCCTTTCCTCCTAGTACACCTTTCTGGACTGCTCTACTTTTCCCATTCTATCTCTACCTCCCCAGCCCAACTCCTACTCACAGAGCTCTCTCTCTCTCTCTCAAAGCCTGGATGAAATGTTTCTACCTTCTTGAGGCATTCTCTCATATTTTTTCCCTTGCTCTTCTCTAGCACAAGGCCGAATCACAGCCATAAATTTCAGAAGATCCAGCTATAATAAGAGATAGACAAATAGACCAATGTACTAGAAATAGAAAGTCCAGAGACAAACTCATACTTATGTGGAAATCAAATATACAACAGAACTTGTCTTGTAAATTGGTGGAGAAATAATGGACTGTTTTAAAAATGGTGCTAGAATAACTGGTCATCTGTAAAGGGAAAAGAATGGATCCTTATTTCACATCCTTCTCAAAAATAAATGCCAAATGAGTCAAGTCAAAGCATTAAGTTTTTAGAAGAAAATAGGAGACCATCTGTACATATTAAAACTGAGAGATAAATTTGACTACCATAAATGACTTTTTATCAAAAGATACCATAAAAAGAGTGGAAAGATGAGCCACATATTGAGAGAACTGGCAAAGAATTAGTATCCAGAATATGTGATGAGCTCTTTTCAAATGAATATAACAAGAAAAATATGTTCAATTTCATTAGTTATTAGGCAAAATGTATTACCATCGTACACACTACAGACTGGAAAAAAATTATATTGTCTGAAAATACCAAATTTCAGAAATAGTATGAACAAACAAGAATTCTAATTGTTGGAGCACCTGAGTGACTCAGTTGGTAAAACATCTGACTCTAGATTTCAGCTCAGGTCATGATCTCATGGTTCATGAGATTGAGCCCCGCATAGGGCTCTGTGCTGACAGGGCAGAGTCTGGTTGAGATTCTCTTTCTCTTTCTCTCTCTTCCCCTTCCCTGGCTTGTGAAGTCTCTTGTCCATTCTCTCTCTCTCTCTCTCTCTCTCTCACTCTCTCACTTTCTCTTTCTCCAT